GTTTGTGTTCAGAAAAATTCGAAACATTCAAAATTTGGGCAATGTTTACCTCAGAGGGCCCTCTATTGTTATGCGCAGAACCGATGCGCAGAACGGACTTGACTTCCCCTTTAAGAAGTCCAAGAATAAGAAAAAAACAATGAAAAACTTGCGGAATAGAATTGGTCGATGGAATTTGATCACAGGAATCGGGGCATAGATTATAGATTGTACCAGATGTCTCACTCAGCAAAAATTGTGTCCGTGATTTTTTATGAGCACACGTTGGCCGCCATTTTGGCAGTAAGTGTAATCCACGCCATGAAACGTGAGCAATCACGCATTTTGGCAGTAAGCTCACTTTGGCCCGAGGGAGTGGCATTTGACATTTTTTTGTAAAAATGTCAAATCCCACCCCTTGCCCTAACATTGATAGGTGCATTAAATTGAAAAATTAAAGTGACGAAATAAATTCTACTCAAATATTTCGCCAAAAAATGAGAAACATGGCTGATAGCCATGGGACAGGTCAACTTCGTTGTGGCCTGCAGTGCCGGGGTTGTTGAAACCCCGATCATAGATTATCATCATACCAGATGTCTCACTGTGTATCTACCCTATGATTTTTCAAAAATCCCCCACCCCTGGGATGAAATTGTATTCCTGAAGTATTTGGTTTCTGGTGCATTCTATATGTAAGGAAATATAAGACTCTATATAAGGAAATTACACAAAAATTTGACGGTATAATTTAAAAGTATAACTAATATAAATAACGTTTCAATTAATTAAAATATCATTAATAAATATATATACCTTGAGGCAAATCATGTCAGCCATATTATGTCACGTGAAGCTACACCGATCCGATTCGTTCGGATTTCGGAACCAAAATATTCCGCATATCGGATCGGATGAATAAAGTTGTTTCGTAGTCGGATCGGATCGGACTTCGATATCCGAAATAAAATGAATTAATTATCCACGCATTTATCAAAGCAACATCGCGGTTGCCCTGCATTATTCGTTTGATACTTCAATTGGACGTCACTTTGTCAGCTTCTTGACATGTATCTCTTGCTTTTATATTTATTTGGTTAAATATTTCAACTTGAATGAGAAATTTATTTTATTAAAGAATTCTTCGGATCTTCGGAATTATTTTTCAACACTCGGATTAGACAATTTCGGATCGGATTTTAAACATTAGGCAATTGTCGGATTATAAATGTCCGATCCGATGCACACCTCTAATTGTTCATCCTAATCACTGAGTATTCTTATATAATTGTTCGCCCTAATTAGTATTCTTTTGTAGTCGTATTTTGGTGTTATATCTGATAAAACACAAATAATACATAATGTGAACTTTTAACATATAACTTTTGACGTCACAACCGTGGATTTAACAACACACACAAGCCGTCGACCAGTTGCATTGTCACCTCGTGCAAAGAAAATCATCCACCATGGGTGTGTGGTGCATTCAAAGCCTTGCCAGTATCCTAAAGAAAGGAACTAATCAGCAACAGTAAACGCTGCTTTAGGTGTCTAGTATCTGATCACCGCAAAAGAGATTGCCCTAATGTAAGACGGTGTGGTCTTAATGGGTGCAACAGTGATGAACATAGTCGATATCTCCATGAAGATGGCCACCAACCGCATAATGAGACAAACCAACCCAAGCCAGGACAACACCCAGGAAACAACCAGCAAGACGAGACAAGTAATCAAAATCAAACAACAGCAGAGACCAGAACACATACAACCCGGCAAGCCGAATATGTATCACTTATGGTTTTACCAGCAGTGATTAGTAATGGTACTAAAACACTAAAGGTGAATGTAATGCTAGACAACTGTTCAACTGGTTCATATGTGTCTGATGCCGCAGCGGAAGAACTTACGCTACAAGGGAAAAGCCAACAACTTGCAATTTCAGGAACAGGCGGTACAGAGGTTAAGAAACATTCACGTCAAGTTGAAGTGATGGTAACCAGTCTCGACAAAACGTTTTCTGCTAATCTACAAGCCAATGTTCTGGATAATATATCGAGCGACACCCCAGCGTTTGAGTGGTCCAAGCTGAAGAAAGAGTGGCCCCACCTACAATCAATCCCGTTCCCGAATGTTGCGAAGCGTCGACAAATTGATGTCCTTATTGGATCAGACAACCCCATATTTCACCATATTCTACAAGAGGTACATGGAACTAAAGCGAGAGATCCAATTGCACGCAAGACAAGTCTCGGTTGCATGGGTTTGTTTTGGACCTACACTTACCGAACAGTTTCGACGATCATCTAAATCTTACTTCACACGCACCTACCGCACTAATCACACCGAAGAACAAGGTCCTGATGATATTCTACGACGGTTTTGGGAGCTAGAATCCATCGGTATTCGAGATGAAACGGAAAGAGAATTGACGCCAGACGAGAAGGCAGCAGTAGCCCAAGTAACAGATTACATTTGAGAGACGGCCGATACGAGATTGGCATTCCGTGGAAAAGAGTCCCCCAAGACAAAGACTCTCGGTGTACTGTGGGAATCAACGAGCGATGTTTTTACTTTCCGGGTCCAACCACCCAATGTGGATATGAAGTTGACCAAAAGAAACGTTCTCAGCACTATAGCGACTATCTTTGACCCACTGCAGTTCTTGGCCCCCTTCACCCTACGTGCTAAGATTTTGATGCAGGAAATCTGGATAGCTGGAATCGGTTGGGACGATCTCCTTACAGACGAGTTGATTTTCAAGTGGAAAAAATGGGTCTCGGAACTACGTGAATTATCGCAGGTCACTATTCCTCTAAGTCTTCGCCTACCCAGTCCTTCTCAAAGTCGATTACACGTATTTTCAGACGCATCAAAAGAAGCTTATGCTACGGTAGCCTACTTAGTTTGTCGATATTCTGACGAGAGCAGTACCTCGAGAATTGTTGCGTCGAAAAGTAGAGTGGCACCAACAAAAGTAGTGACGATACCACGGCTAGAGCTCATGGGTGCAATTCTTTCCACTCGACTGGCAAAGAACATTAGCAAGACCTTAGAAGTTGGAGAACCTATATTCTGGACTGACTCGACAAACGTGCTGTACTGGATACGAAACCAAAGTCGTGATTTCAAGCCGTTGGTAGCCAACCGAATCGGCGAAATTCGCAGATCCACTAACCCACAGCAGTGGAGACATATACGTGGAGAGTCGAATCCAGCAGACCTGCCAACAAGAAGATTGTCAGCCACAGACCTAGCAAACAACGAATTGTGGAAGAAGGGACCAGAAATTCTACAACAAGACGAGTCAACATGGCCCCCTCAAATTCCCAACGAAGAAGTTCAGAGAAATATTGTCGAAGGCGAAAGACGAAAGGTTAACGTTACTCACACAACAAGGGACAGTTCAAACCAAATTCTCATTGATCCAAATCGTTTCTCGAGCTTTCAAAGATTAGT